TAAATTTATGCAGAAATTCACAATCGTTTTTAATATAAGTTGGTGGAAATTTCTCTTATAAAAACAAAACAAAAACTTAGCTCATAAACAATTCTATAAGATTTGAGAAACAATATATACTAAGATTGATGAATCCTAAAATCTATTCGATATTTATGATCTTATAAAATTCAAATAATCAATTCAACCTATCTTATATTGTAGAAATCTACTTTAACTCTACGTAACATTGAACATAGGGATGAAAATACATATATTCATTATTGACGTATTTTATGATTTTTTCAATATATTTTTAATGATAACAGATATATCTCTCTAGTATATGCATGGAATCATATCAAAACAATATATAATATGTGCTTTTAAAGATCATTTGTATCTTAATAAAATTTAAGTTAGAAGAATTCATCTAATTTGAATTCACGACCATTATCATCATTTTTGAAATGAATCTTTAAATTTGAGTACATCCATGGCTACCCCCTTAAAATTCAGTTAAACATTCAATAGACTTTGCCTCATTTTGGAAGAAATAGTTGAACTTTTCTAAAGCTTTAATTTGGTATATTATATTGCCAATTATCAACTTATATATTTGGCGAGTAAATATTCTTTCCAATAGCTATGCGTATCCTCTAACCATAAAAAAATTATGATGCACATGGACTCCTTAAGTCTAAGTAATGGAATTAAATAGGATTTGGAAAGCTAAACCTAAATAATAATTACGTCTTATAAACCTTAAATAATCGAAGTTTACCAATTGAACATTAGTATATAGTCTTTTAACAAAAAAAAATCAAGAAGTTTAATTTACTAATAACTTCGATCACTAGTATGACACAACAAAGTGTGTATGCATGGTACAAATATAGCCACGAAAGAAACCCTTAACAAAAATGAGAATATAAGAATACCCAATCAATACAATTAAATAAGAGGGGATGAGCAAACCATTGCATGAGTCAGCAGTAGTGAAATCTCCACTGCAATTACATATAGTTTTATCATATAATTGGTAGGCAATGAGAGAGGGGTGGTTTGAGATGTTACAACTTCTTGTAACCTAGCTAAGAAGGAAAGAGATGTATGACTTAAGATGTGATTTTGAGAAAATATAGATATATTTTCTACTCATTATACTCATTTGCTAATCTGAATATCACTAGCTTTCATGGAGGTAGGCAAGAGGAAGCAAACCAAATTATGTTGTAGTGTGTTCTTATTAGAGGAAAATTTATTACTTTCTTGCTCATAAACATTTGTGAAAACTTCATTCCTTTCTTTATCTAGAAGTTCCGTGCGATAATAGGGATATAGTCCTCCTCCAACACAAGTATCTTCGTGACTTATTTGGAAAAATAAACAAGAATGCTTTAAAATGTTGTTCTAACCCAATGGTTTTGACACAAGATTTCCAAGATCCAGATGATGCAGAAACGAAACTCTTAAAATGGACATATTTCAATGATGGGAAACATCACGCAGAATCAAAAAATAACATAAATGTTTTAGGGAATTAACTAAAGAATAAGAAGATCTAACTTCACTTTCTAAGTTTTGGAAAGTTTTAGAATAAAAGAAAATAAGAGGATTCTTCTATTTCCCAGATTTTCTTTTTCTCTATTATTTCTATTTAACTTACTTGATTCACGGAAACTACTTGTGATTAGTATTCAAACACTGAGATATTATTTTGATTATTAAGATTCAAGACTTCTAAGTTTTGTTTTCAAACTCTCTTTGTTCTATAACAGTTCGTATTAGAATATTCATCCCACTGCCTGATTACTCATTGCAAATTTACACAGTACAGCTCTACTGCCTTCAAAGAAAAAAAAACCCTTAAAATCCTAAAATAGCCACCATCAGCAAACGTAAAAGAAAATATAAACAGTTGGCCAATGCAATATCTAGACGCCATCAGGGGGTGGTCAACACCGCCCTCTTCATTTACCTCAAAGGTTGCCAACCGGCTCTTTTACCACATTTCAGCCTTTACAGTCATTAAAATCCTCATTACTTGCCATAAACTCACCGGATCATCACTGCAATAGCAAGCCCTCCTCCCTGGCTGTGATGAGCAATGTTGAATCTAGATCTAAGGCTAGTGCCTCCAGTCGAGCTCACCACCCGAAGATCGAAGCCGGGGGGTCACCGAAGCTGACCTGTGACTGTCTTGCTCCAACCAATGTGCATGGATTTTGGTATTCTAAAACCCTATGTTGATTGGTCCAAACTAGTTTGATCGTATTC